AATAACATTGATCAGGTAGTGAATTATACCTACAAGATGGAAAAACACATCACTGGGAACATGGGATCTGGGCTGCAAAGGAGAAACTGACATCACGGGGAGTCATTCATTGTTTTCAACTTCCACAGCCTTTGCTTGCTTGCTGATCTGTGTTGCTTCCAGGTCTTGCCTCTCCCATTCCTCCTCTTTGATAACATCTCCTATATACTCTTCTCTAAGATGGTAGTTTTCAAGATATGGCCCAAATTCTTGGTCCTTATCTTAGTCCTATTGAATCAGAAACTTTGCAGAAAAACTCAGAAATCTGTTTTATAAGCTTTCCTCCTGCCCAGCTAGTTCTGTTCCATGTTACAATTTCAGAATCTCTGCCCTAAGCTGTTGGCTAATCATGTCTTCTTAGCATGGAGTTTTGATTGTTCACCTAAATCACCCCAGCTATCTTGAGTCCTATGGCTTGAACTCAGGAAAAACTGCAACATAACTGGAGACATATCATAGAAGTCATATGACTTCTAGCATTCATTATTTTTAGCATTTATTTATTTCTAGCATTCATAATATTTTTCCAGGGTGTCCTTAAAGCATTTTTCATAGGCAAATTTTGTAGATAAAATTTTGTATTTGAACATTACAGTTATGATAAAGACAACTGCATAGAAGACGAAGAATAAAGTATACCCTATTAATATGTTCAAATTTTTCAAAACTCAATTTAATTATGAGCTTGGGGCACAGATGGGATCTGGGGGAAGCTCTTCAACACAACACACTTGCCATCAAAGATTTGGCTATGACATCAGTCCAAGAAAATTCCCAGTACTATTATCTTCAGTCTTACCACATATAATTAAAATAGACTTTACTAATGTATTAAGATACTTTTCAAGAATGTACCTCTAACTTCTAGATTCTAGATTTACCTAAGTTTAATTAATTTGTGTGTGTGTATATATGTACTTGTGTGTATTTATAAAACTTAAAATAATGATTCCAATACCATGTGAGATATTATACACTCTGGGATTTTTACTTTTATTTTGTTTTAAAAAATGTATCAGGGAATTGGGCATTTCATTTAAATAATTTTCTTGTTTCTTTTTTGAGTAGAAACTTTTGTATTGCTAAAATTTGTGATAAATGTATTGCTAAAACGTTCTGAAATACATTTTTTGCTGGTTATGAGGATTGAAACTAGCATCCTGCATGGTAGGCAAGTGATCTACCACTGAACTATACTCTCAGTTATGTAATTTCTTTAATCACAGACCCAAAGGACAATCAAGTCCACATATAAAATTTTCCCATTAAATGAAAAATCCTATTTTAGCTATTTATTAGAAAAAAATTCCTGGATACATCTTAGGTATATGAACAATTGTTGAGATAAAATGATTCACTGTGTCATCATGTACTCAATCTTTGACTTGTCTGAATAAAGACACTTTGTCAATCCTTGGTCTGGGCAGTTGAAATCCTTGAACCTGAAGTTCAAGGTAATCCTTGTTCTTTCTTGGATTCTGGCTTGCAGTTTGTATGTATGAACAATGGAATTTAGCAGTATTTAGAGCTACTAAATATGTACCCTGGTACAGATTCAGATATAGAAATATTAATTCTGTTGTAAGTAAGTGTTGCATTCTCTACATATTTCCACAGCAGAAATATTTCCAGTATCACCTGTTTCACAGTTTTCAGGCTATACCTCCTCTTCAATGTGTGGCTCTAAAATGTATCAGAATATTTGGAACACTTATTAAAACCAATTGCTGAGCTCCACCTCCAGAATTACTGATTCCATAGGTGCAGGGTAGAGGTATTTACATTCCCAAAACGGGTATTTATATCCAAGGATGCTCGTACTGATATTCTAGGCAGAATCCATTTTGAGAATACAAAGACTCATATCCTTGAATCAGAATCACCTCGACTGCCTGGCTAGTAGAACCTGTATTTGTAGAATCTGGACCTCCAGGGTATTGTGTCCATGATTTTTAGTGGGACAGATGCCCACTCATCTGAGAAGCAGTGAGAAAGGTGGTGCAGGGATATTGTTAGTCTGAGAAAACATAAAACAAATTTCCCATCAAACAATACCAATTTTATACTAGCTATTTGGCATATATAAGTTGCTTTATACAATGTAATTGAATCATTGATAATGAATGAATGTAAGCACTTAATGGCTACTTCCTATTTATACCCAGCATCTTTTCTTTATTTTACTACAGAATATATATCATCCATATTTTCACTACTTGCTTGCTTGTCTGTCTCCATGCTTGACAGAGATCTTATCCTATTTTCATTTATCTTCAGTGCCAGATCCAGTATCTGGCACATAATGTGCATAACATCAGAATTTGTTGGGTTAAACAGTTGTAAATGTTAAATAGAATATCTGTTAGAGTAAGCTTGAAGAAATAGCATTGAACTCTCTTGATTTCTTTGAATAAGTATAAAAGTGTTAGAAGAGGAACACCAGTAGGTTGGTTCAAATGCAATATGATGACTAAGACCATAGCTAGAAAAGCTGCAACCAAGTCCCAAAGTGGAGGATGGTACCAAGATATAGCATTAAGACAGGAGGTGGAACATAAAGGTCGTGGTGTGTGATTAGCACATCACAATTGCAGCCTATTCAGAAAAGCCACTCTTCAACAGAGTAGGGAATACGTGGAGGAAAAGAAAAGGGATGTTTTGATGAGGCTGATATGTGGTAAGGATTTTGTGGATGACCAGAATATTAAGGACTGTAAAAATGCGTCAGGACATGACAAATGGTAAGTTAGTCACTTCTTGTATCCCACATTAAGTTTGGCAGGCAGGTGACAGCATTTGATATTCTAGGTCCAGTTGCTTTTTATCTTAGGAATGAAGTAGGATTTTAATCAGACTCATCTACTTCTGCCAACAAGTCTAGAGTAGAAATGGTCCATGGTGTGGAGAGCAGTTCCTGGTACTGGGGTTGAAATTGAGGATTGTTTAAATACTGATGTTCTTGTTTCTACTGTTGTCCACACCAATTGTATAAATTCTAAACCCTGTTGTTGTCTCCTTGAATAGGCTTGCTTTGCCCTGATTTTTAATAGTCTTTTTATATTTCCTGTTCCATGCTCCATAGACTGCCTTCCTGATCTCAGGTCTTTTGTTGTTGCATTTTTTGAATTACCCAAATTTTCAGCTTTCTGTACAAACAACATAGGTTTCTAATCTGTAGTTCACTTTATTCTTTGAGGCCTGTGTGCATTTGAACTGAATGTTGTTATCATGTCTCACCCAATCATAGCTGGTTTTATACTTTCACCTCTGCCTCACCTATATGAAGTTTTAAGATTCTCACACTGAAATTATAGATTTTACTACCCATGTTCAAATGGTCCCACTGGATTCTCCTCATTTACTTATCAGTGCTATGCTCTTTCCAAGGAGATCAGGTGAAAATTAGATAGTACTTCTATTGAAGATTTTTTATTTAGAGATGAAATGACAAAACTTTCCAAGAAAAATGATATCATGACTAACCTGGAAATTCAGAGCCTCATGAGATTTAAAATATTCTTTCAAATAATATAAGAATTAGATTTTCAGAAAAGTTAGCATATGTTAAAAACACACAAAATTCTTTGCTTGGTAGGTTTTTCAGTAAAGATTTGGCAGGACCTTCAAAAATTGTGAGATGTGTGTGAAGTTATTTACTGTGTGTGAATGTTCCACTCATTGAAGGCCAACCAGCATTTTTTGACAAGGCAAATAAATATAAGCCATATTTCCTATCATTCTAAAACATGCAACAAATCGCCCAAATGTCCCCAATGTGTTAATGCCAACTCTATAATGAGAATCAATGACTTATTCAAGTTTTCAATTGCTAGGGTTGGGCAGGACTCACAGAAAATGTGGAAGTTTAAAACCTAAACAAAATCAGTAAGAAGAAGGGGTAACTATTGTGTAGGCATTCAGTAGTGTGTACCACAGGAGACAGGTTGGTTGATAGTCTGTGAGGTTCCTTTTAGATCTATAATCCATACTATTTACTCCTAAAGTACAATATAAGAGCATGTGTGAGTAGTTAATAGTCATGGGTAATGAGTCTTTAAATTATATAAAGAGGAATAATTATCTATATAGTGACTCAAGACAAATTCTTCAATTACTGAATAGAATTGATACATGAACTTCTCTTAAAGATAAACAGAGGGCTGGGGTTGTGGCTTAGCCATAGAGCACTCGCCTAGTACTTGAGAAGCCCTGGGTTAGATCCTCAGCACCACATAAAAATAAATAAAAATAAAAGGTATTGTGTCCACCTACAACTAAAAAATAATATTTTAAAAAAAAGATAAACAGAAAATGCAATAACTGAGAAATTTAAAATCTAAACTTCCAAAAAATAAAGTGTTATGTGGTATCTTAGAATAAGGTTAATTTGAACTAACTCTTTGCTTAATGAAGGACAATGTCATTCTTGGTAGTAATGAGAACAAATGAAGTCAAGACAGTTTAATTCAAATTTACCTAATTAAAATAATTAGAGCTACACATCGGTTTGTATCTCAGTTATTTCTGAGAAAAATTTGTGGATATATTCTTTTGTTCTTTCTCAAATGACTATTATAATAGACATATTATCAGTGATCACCATCTTATTAACTTGAATCCTCAACTATCTAATATAGTCCTAGAGACCAGTAAATGTTCAATATGTGCTTGCGTCATAAATTAATCGTTTCAATGAAAGACTTTAGAAAAGAATATGTGAATTAAACCTAAGTCTATTTCATTTTAAATAGTTTTTATGTTAAAATTATTTGCATTATAAAGCTCTTTTATACCAGATAATCTTGCAGGAGCTAATACACATTTTTTTTTTCTATGTGAATTATCTGAACTAGATGACAGATGGCTAAGTATCAGTAATCATTAAAAAAACAACAGGATTTTCTGCATTTATTATCACTCTACTTATTTCCTACTCTCATGTTTTTGTTGTTCTAAAACAGGGATTTGATAAACAAGTGGATGTGTCATATATTGCCAAACATTACAACATGAGCAAAAGCAAAGTGGACAACCAATTCTACAGTGTGGAAGTGGGAGACTCAACCTTCACAGTTCTCAAGCGCTACCAGAATCTAAAGCCTATTGGCTCTGGGGCTCAGGGAATAGTTTGGTAAGTGGAATGAATTTAAGTCATGCTTTCAAAGGGAAAATGCTGTGTGTGTGTGTGCATCTACTGGATGCAAATGCACAAGTAAAACGTGAATAAATAAATAACATGACTTTACAGGGAAAATACATTCCACTGAATAAAAATAAAATTATGAGTATCATTTGTCACTCATTGCCCACATGCTAACAATTTGTACAACTTGACTTGTGACATGTTTTTTGTTTTTTGTTTTTTTTGATCACCAGAAAAAAAAAATCCATTACACAACACCATAAAGAAATCAAAAGACCCAGAGGTTTCTACTTGTTGCTAATGTATGTAGAATTTTTTATTTGTATATTTCACAGGAAGAAATGAAAAGCTGTCTCAAGATAACAGTAAATAAATCCCCCTATATTATGTGCGAGGGGTAAATGATGACTCAAATGTTCTTGTGACTTTTAAAGTTCAATGTTTAAAATTTAGCTACCTATCTAAAAAAAAAAGTTGTACTAAAAAATTTGCCTAATGTTTCCAAATGGAAAGATTCTAGGCTCCTTACAATCATTCTTTTATAACATTTTGAGTGGCTACTTGAAGTCATGACAAATCTAAATCTGATTTAGCGATTATAAAATGCTTATAAAAGTAATGATATCAGGTTAATTGATAAGCATTTTTTAGATTGTTTAAATATATTATGTGATATCTATCTATACACACACACACACACACACACACACACACACACATATATATATATATATATATGTATCAGAGGGTTAGTAGAGATTGAACCCAGGGGTACTTAACCACTGAGCCACATCCCCAGTCTTATTTTGTATTTTATTTAGAGACAGGGTCTCACTGAGTTGCTTAGTGCCTTGCTTTTTCTGATGCTGGCTTTGAACTCACAATCCTCTGCCTCAGGCCCCTGAGCCACTGGGATGACAGAAGTGTGTGCACCACTGTGCCTGACACAAAATATATTTAGTATGAATAATGCTAAATATAATGATAATAATGTTCAACCATTTTGAAGGTTCATATTAATATGTAAAAATTGAGAAAATATGCCCTACATATTTATATGCTTATAAATGATATTTATGTAATATATTTATAATATTAATTACTTCTAAGTTAATTATTAGGTCTAATTAAAAGCACAAAAACTTTGATGGGGTGAATAGGATGATGATGAAATAAACATTTAAAAATATTTTTATTTTATGCTTCCGTTTTACTCATATAAAATATTAGTTATTTTAATGATAGCAATGATTACTTTTCAATATTTTTCAAAACTGCATTTTAAATTTCATGAAAGTTTGAAAATTTGATTTGCTTTTTTTGGGCAACAGTTTATTTTCAATATCAATGCTTGGTTGATGTGAATGCAGAAGTGCACTGCTAGTGTACTTACTAAATCCTAACATTAAAATTTAAGGCTAATTTAACAAATATACCAAGGGTATTATTGAAATTCACCTAGTTAATTACTAACTTCCTACTATCAAACAGTAGTTAATTTTGCAATGTGAAAGGTAGAACATTTTAGTGTTTTTAAAAATGGATCAAAACTTTCATTTCAAGGATATTAAAATAGGTAAACATGTAAATACATTTTTATTTTCAGTAATTATTTACGTATTCTTATTGTTCGGGTATGAGATAACATCTTGTGGTTCAAAATATATTCGTGGTATGGTAGGCAAAATAATGGTTACCCCAAAGAGCATAGGTCCTAAGCCCCAGAATCCTTGATTAGGTTACCAGGTATAGTAAAAGGGGCATGACAGATGTGATTAAGATTAAGGACCTTAAAATTGGGAGATTATTTTGGAATATCCAGGTTGTATCAATATAATAACATGAATCCTCAAAAGCAAAGCCGAAGAATGGATCAAAGAGATACAACAGGAGCAGATGGAGAAGAGGTTTGAAACATGAGAGAGACTTGCCTTGTTTCTGGCTTTGAAGATGGAGGAAATGGGACCATGAGCCAAAACATAAGGTTGGCTAATAGAAGCTGGAAATGATTATCAGGTAGCTATCAGCAAGAAAATGGAAAACTTAGTCCTACAATGATACTGCATTGAAATCTGCCAATAGCCCAAATGAAAGGAAACAGTTTCTCCTCTAGCACCTGTAGAAATTAATTCAGCTTGCCAACATCTTGATTTTAGGCCTGTGAAACCCATATAGAGCTTTTGACCTTCAGAACTCTAAGATAATAATTTTGTGTTATTTAAGCAATTATGTTAATGATAATGTGTTGCGGCAATAATTCTAATACACATGATATAACAAAGATTCTAATATTAAAATAAGTGATGCAAAACTCCTAACTTTACTAGGGAATGAAGAAAACTGAATGATGGTTAGCTACCTTTCTTCGATGGAAAACTGTAGAATATTGACACAAGAAAATTTTCCTGAATAACATTCTCAGTGCAGATGTCCAAATACTTCTTGGGATAATTTCTTTTTCCTTCTAAAAAAGCTTCCATGGAAAATTAGGACTGCCAGTGAAGGGAAAGTGATAGAACTCTTAACAACTTAAAAAATAGATTCAAAACAGCATTTTGCTCAAGAAATTAACAAAATGTCACAGAAAATTTTGAAAAATCTTATACTAAGAATTTTATAGTATGTTTTATGGGATATTTAGGGCTTCTATTTCTCCTTTTTTATGGGATGAAAATAATTCTTGGTCTTTGGTATAATAACTGAAAACATCTGTTAATAATGAAAGTATCCCTGAATTTTTAATCTAGTTTTAGGACAAATTTATCAGCAAATTTGCAATGAAAAAAATAACTGAATTCCAAAATTTTTACCTGTAAGATTCCTGAAATGATTAGTCCTTGATGAGGGAAACATAATCATATTCAGGCTGGCAAAGAGAAAGATGAAAGGCAGAATGGAATTTCTCACTTTCTACTCTATCATGTATATAGACACTACAATCAGAGGACCCTCTTCTCTGACACAGATTGGCTTGTCCTTCCTTGTTTCTTTTCTTCGACCTAGGTTTTGAGTTATCTTTGCTTTATTTATTGTAATTTAGGTCTTTAATGTATTTTTTCTCTTGTAGATCTTTTGTTCCCATATTTTTATTGGTGCATTATAATTACACACAATGCTAGGGTTGGTTTTTACATATTTGTACATGATCATGATAGAACAATATGATTTGATCAGCATCATTCCCCAATATTTCCCCTTTCCCTCCTCTTCTCCCTCCTCCTGGTCCCTTTCTTCTACTTTTCTTTATTCATTCATCTCTATTCACTTAGGTTGGCTCCATAGTTTAGCAATTGTAAGTTAAGCTGCTGTAAACATTGATGTGGCTGCATCCCTGTAGTATTATTATTTGTCGTCTTGCTCATTGCCTTTCTAACTGGAGAGAGAGAAAATTTAATGTGGTCTTGATTGACATTTCCCTCATCACAATTCTTTTTCATATATTTGTTGGTCATTTGTGTTTCTTCTTTTGAAAAATATTTGTTTCCTTCTTTTGACCATTCCCTGATTGGATGATTTGCTCTTTGTGTGTGTGTTTGGCTGGGGGTGGGGGTGATATGATCATACAATTTTTGTCTTTAATTCTGTTTATGTGGTGAATTATATTTATTGATTTGCATATGTTGAACAAACCTTGCATCTCTGGACTGGAATCTCTTGATCATTGAATATTATCATCTTGAATTGTTTTTGAAAGTGATTTGCTAATGTTATTTTGAGGATTATTGCGTCTATGTTTATCAGGGATATTGGTCTGTAGTTTTCATTCCTTGATGTATGTTTGTCTGATTTGAATATCATAGAATATATTTGGAAGTAGTCACTCCATTTCAATTTCATGTGAAAATCTGAGACAGACTGGTGTTATTTCTTCTTTAAAAGTCTGGCAGAACTCAGTTGAAAATTTATCTGGTCCTGATATTTTCTTTGTGGAAGGTTTTTAATTGCTGTTTTGATTTTATTATTTGATATTGGTCTGTTTAGGTTTTCTTTAACTTCCTGTATTAGTTTGGGCAGGTCATAGAATTTTGTCTAGAAAATTCTAATGTTTTCTAGACATTCCATTTTTAAAATATAAATTTTCAAAATGGTTTCTAATGATTCTCCAATTGTTAGCAGTGTCTGAATGGTATCTCCCTTTTCACCTCTGATTTTGTTTATATGAATCCTCTCTTTCTTTTGCTTAGTTTGGTTAAGGATTTATTAATTTCATTTCTTTTTGAAGGATCTTTTTTGTTTTATTGATACTTTGTGTTGGTTTTTATTCTCAATAGCATTGATTTTGGCTCTGAATTAAATTATTTCCTGTCTTCTATTGATTTGGGCATTAATTAATTTTTTCTAAGACTTTGAGGTGGAGCATAAGCTTACTTATTTGGGAACTTGCTATTGTTTTATTGTACAAATTCAATGTTATAAAGTTTTTTCTTAAAACTGCTTTCATATTGTTTTGGATACTTTGATATGTTGTATCTCTGTTTTCATTAGTTTCTAAGAATTTCTTTATTTCTCCTGATACATTCTTAATTTAAGTGTTGTTCAAACTATCTGGGATTTAATGCCAAAATTATTTTTTAATGTAATTAGGTACACTGATCTGTAGGGCATATATATTTACTATCATTATATTTTCTTGTTGGATCATTTCCTTTACCAGTATGTAGTGACTTTCTTTGTATTTTCTGATTAATTTCTATTTGAAGTCTGCTTCTTCAAATATGAGAATAGCCAGTTCTGCTGGTTTTGGGACTCCATTTGCATTGAATATTTTTCTGTCCTTTTACTTTCAGCCTGTGGAGGTCTTTGCCTAAGAGATGAATCTTTTGCAAGCAGCATAGAGTTGGATCTTGTTTTTAAATCCATTCAGCCAATCTATATCTTTTAACTGGGTAGCTGAGACCACTACAGTTAGTGTTATTATGAAGAGATGTTTGTTATTTCCTGCCCTTTTGGTTTGTTTGCTATATTTATTTCTGTCTGGACTTTAATTT